AGAGAGAGAGAGAGGGGGAGAGAGAGAGAGAGAGAGAGGGAGAGAGAGAGAGAGAGAGAGACATCACGCACCATCGGGACTGGTGGATTCACGCGAGGAGCGCGTGAACACCAGAACCGGCGACCCCGGACCCTTGATGAAGTTGTCGAGTGCCTCGGCAAACAGAGGGTGCCCTTGGAGGAAGCTCGACACCTCGGCCGGGGCGAAGGAGAACAGGTGCGCCACCAGGCCCACCATATAGTCGGTCACGGTCTTCCCGTCACAAAGGGCCGGCGGGGGCGCGGCCTCGGGGGGGCCGGCATCCCGGTCCGGATCCAGGCGGTCCATCGACGACAGCTGGCCAGCCGCGGCCATGTCGTCGATCGGAGCCTCACTCAGGGACATGGGAGAGGACGGGAGACGGGAGAGAGGGGCAGGCTGAGGGGGGGGAGGATTGCCAGGAATGGGGGGGGGAGTTAGAATGCGCAGGCAAGGGCATCAGGGCCGCAAGCAATGGCGAGAGGGACATACACCTCCTCCAGAAGGGGTGACGGGGACAGGAGCGGTCCGCTGCGGGGATGAGGGACAGGGGCCGACCCGCTCGGAGAGTGAGAAGGAAGGAGGGAGGGCGAGGGGGGAGGGGGGGGGGGGGGACAAGCCAAAGGGGGCGGGAAAATAGAGCGAAGGGGAAAGGGGGAAGGGTGATGGGCGGTCCGGGATAGAAGGGACTCGGGATCCATCGAAAAAGCGGTGTCCCCCCGGCTCGGCTGCCTAGAGCGGCAGGGTGGGACAACAAAAGGGAGCAGTCGCAGCGCCCCCCCTCCCCTCCCTTGCGGGGACGGGCCCACACACACACCCACCCGTCCCCACGCCGAGGCCCTGGAGAGGAATGCCCGCCCCCCCCCCCCCCCCTCCCTCGCCCCGGCCCCATCCCGCCCTGGCTCGCGCACCTCCCTGACCGTGACCGGGGTCCCAATGAGGCGGGTGCATGCACACCCAGGTCAGGCAGGCCGGGCCCGAAAGCCTCGAGCCAGCCAGGACCAGCCGCGCAGAGGCAGGGGCCCGTGAAAGAGTCCCCCCGATGTAGGCCTGGGACCCTGCCCCGCTCGACGAGGGACGCCTCCAGCGCCCAAGCCCGAGGAAGATTAGCTCGGAGCCCCCCAGGAATGCGCAGGCGGTTACGCTCCGGCCCCGCCCGCCCACACGCCTCGGAAGTCCTCCGAGAGCACCGGCCGGAGAACCGCCAGCGCATGGAGGGCGCGCCCCCCCAGTGCCCACCCCGGGGTGGGCGCCTCGACAAAGAGACTCGGCTAGACACCAAACCAGCAGCTGACGGGAAGGGCAGGAAAGCCGCTCGCACTTTTCCTTTTTCTTTTTCCCGGCTCGCGCGCAAGATGCGGCAGCCCAGACCCGGACGCTGGCATGCGCGTGCGCGCCAGGGCGCCAGCGTACCTGGCAGAGGTGCGACGAAAGAACAGAGAGCGCAACGAGGGCCCCCGCCCCCCCCCCCCCCGAAGATGCGGCTCACATCGAAAGACGGACCCAATGTCGAATCGGGTGATTGATTTATATGCACATGTGATCCCCGTGGGTCATGCCCCGCTCCGAGGGGCCTCGAAGACGCGATCGCCCCCTCGGCGGGCGAGTGCACGCACGGCCGCACACGGCCGCACACGGCCACACACGGCCATACACGGCCATACACACACACACACACACACACAGAGAGAGAGAGAACAGACACATAGGCAGCCACTATCAACACCAGGGAACTATCTGTATTGGCCGGGAAATCCCAATACACATCGTCTGGCCGATGGGGGATGGTCGAGGCGAAGGACACAGTCCCCAGAGGGGGGGAGGGAGCACAGACGTGCCTCGAGCACGGGCCCCACTCAAACACCCCCAGTGCCGCCCTCGCCGGGGGCCGCCTTGCAATATGTCAGCACCATGCGGCTGGCCATCATGCCCATGTCGGCTCCCAGCCGGGCAGAGGTCTCGCCATCGAGGAAGTGCGCCGGCCGGGCGGGGACAAGGCCATGCACGGCCGCGGCCCGATCCAGATCCGCCTGAGAGTACATGCGCTCCGCGTAGACCTTGTCCCGGATCAGGCCGTGCCCCGTGCAGATGACCATCTCCCGGGAAAGGAGCATCCCGCCGCAGGGGGAGAGCTTGCGCGACCGGACGGCCAGGCGCCCGGCCCCGGGGGCGGCCGACTGCTGGCCGCCGGCCGGCACATCCAGCCACTCCCACGACCGGGGGCTGAAGTTCTGCCGCATGTACTCGCCATTGGTCACGTCTATGACCAGGAGGCCGCCCGGGCGCAGGGCGGCCGCCGCATTGCGCAAGATGGCCGAGTCGTCTGCCGACTGGGGGCTATACCCAAGGCTGTTGCCCATGAGGATGACCGCGTCGGCCGGGGTCCCGGCGGCGTCCAGCGCCCCGGGAGCCCGGGCATCGGCCACATGGAAGGCGGCACTGGTGGCCCCGGCGGCCGCGGCACGCTCGCGCGCCACCCCGATCAGCGTCGCCGACTGGTCAACCCCGGTGACGCGCAGCCCCCCGGGCCACCGGCGCAAGAGCTCCAGCGCGTGCCGGCCCTGCCCACAGCAAAGGTCCACCAGGTGGTAGGGGCCCGCCACCGAGCCCGGGCATGCCCCGGTCGGCAGATGGCCCGCCAGGATCTGAAGCAAGAGGTCCACCTCGCGCTCGGTGATGGCCGGATCCTCAACAACATCGCCATCCGTCAGAAGGTACACCTCGTCGAAAAGGTCCTCCCACCAGTCCTCCTGGAGGTGCTTCTCGAGAGTGTGGTCGACCTCGCCGAAGCCGAGTAGCCGCGGGGGCGCCCGGGCTCTCGAGGGGGCCGACGCCTCCCCCGGGGCGGAGGTCTCGGCCGCCGAGGGAGCTGGCAGCCAGGGTGCGTCGCCCGTCGAGCAGAAGGCGTGCAGGTTCCGCATGGTGCGGGTGTGAAAAGGAAGCAAGAGCGAGAACGCGAGAACGCGAGGGGGGGGGGGAGGCAGCGGAGCGGAGGAGGAAGAGGATGGCCGATGGCTGGCGCCCCTGTTCTCCGGGTGCCGGCGGGTTGCCCCCCCTTTTCCCCTTCAGCAGCCGCAGCGGCACCCATGCAGCCGGGCACCACCGCACGGATGTTCCCTGGAGCATGCTCCCTTCGGCACCCGGGTGGCCGTCTCTCGGCAGGAGGCCAGGAGGTGCCCGATCGCTTTGGCACAGCGCGCGGGGGGGGGGGGGGGCGGACAGACAGGGCGGCCACAGCCGAGAAGCTGGATCACAGGAAGCCGGCGCCCGGCTGCATGACACCTACTACGGGGAGCAGTCGGTGTCCCCCTCGCCCCTGGACAGGCAGATGTGACGGGAACCGCCTTTCTTGCCCTGCGCCCCTGGTGCCTGTCGGCCGGTTGTCAGGACGGATCGATGGAGCGTGAAAAAAAAAAAAAAAAGGCAAAGAAAGGGCGACCTGCGCGATGCGGCCCGCCGGGGGGCACCGCACAGCTCCCAGCCGGGGGACAATGGGGAGCCCCGATCGTTGGCACACCTTCGGCGGATTGAAAATGTGAGTCCGCGCGTCGGAAGACCGCACATTTTGGCCAGCCCCAGCGTCTCGTCCCCCCCCCCCTCCCCGCCGCATTGGGTTTAGGATGTGCCGGGCCGGTGGAGGAAAAAAGGACAGATCCCCGGCGCGGCGGCCCCACCGGTCGCCTGGCGGCGCGAGGCCAGCTCGGCGGGGCAAAAAAATCGGACCACCGGCCGGGCGACAGTGCCACGAAGGACACGGGTAATGTCTCAATTATTATTGTGTCAATATATTCCCCCCAGCTTGGAGGGGCGGAACGCGGGAAAGGAGGCCGCAAGGGAGAAAGGCCCGCAGCACTCGAGCGTCGGTAGGGCGATCCTTCCGTCGGCACTTGGGCGGGGGCTGTGTTCCCCTGCCCCCCCCCCTCTGTGCACGTCTCCGGTGTGTCGCCGGTCCCTCCTTTCCATGGCCTCAGCACTCGGCGGGGGAGAGGCAGGGAGGCAGCATGCCAAGGTGCAGGCGTGGGGGGCATGCTTTTCTCCCACACCCGGCGGCAACACGCACGAGCCGGCACAGGCACACTGCCCGAGTTACGGGGCGACGGTCCCCGGGGGGATCCCCGGAGGGGCGGCGTGGCCTCTCGGGGCCGTGTGCATGTGTGCGCGCCAGAGGTGCCCCATCCTGAGGCGGGCTCACAGCGGGGGAGGTCGGCGGACGCGTCCGCGCACAAGCACCGGCGGTCTTCCGGTCACACCCCCTGGGGGGGGGGGCCGGGGCATTCGGCCCTTTTTCGACCCCCCTGCCCCCGCGCGTCGCCGCCGCCGGCCCACCGTCCACAGGCACCTCGGCACCTCGCCCGGGGTGCAGCTTGCAGTGCGCAGGGACCAGGAGGGGGGTGGGTGGGGGCGAGGCGGCGCCGGTCGCCCCCCGGCGTGTGTGTGTGTGTGTGCGTGTGCGCGTGCGCTCCCGTCTCTGCGTGAGTGCCTAGCTGGCCGGGGGGTGGCTGCGGGGCAGGGGGGGGGGGGGGGACCCCGCCCTGGGGGGGGGGGGGGGGGGAGGCGTCCCGGTCCAAGGGTGACTGGGGATGCCCTTGTCGCCGCCTCCCCCCTCCCGGCCGTGGCGCAGACTCGGCGGCTGATCCACTCCCCCGGGGAGTGGGACCTGTGGTTGCGGCCGGCCTGCCACCTCTGGTCGTCCTGCACCCAGTGACGGCGCCAGGTGTGAAGAGCCACCAGTGCGCCCACCATCCACCCATGGTTTCAGCCTCTTTTGTCTGAGGTTTGGTATTACTATTTTCCTCATCAGTCAGACAAGATGGTTCGTCCATACGCTGCCCCCTCCTCCTCCTCCCTCCTCTCCTTTCCTTTCCTCCCTCCGCCCGCCATTCGCTTGGATCGCATGGGCTTCCCTTCGGCCCTCGGCTAGTGTCGTGCGCGCGCGCGCGCGCGCCTGCGCGACGACGCCCCGCTGTGTCTGGTCCTCCTCGCGCCCCATCGCCTCGTGTGTATGTGTGGCGCCGCGTGCGCACGCCCTTCGCATCCGCACACGGCGCGCATGGTCCTCCTTCCCCTCCTTCTTGCGCCTGTGCGCACTCGGCAGGGGCGGGGATCTCCACTCTGCTGCGGCCCTGCCTGCCCATGCGCACATGCCCTCGTCCGCCGGCCGGTGCTCCTTCCCCCTGCTCCTTCCCGAGGAGGAGGGGCCTGTGTGCCCTGGTTGGTGTGCCACACCTCGAGCCGCATGCATGCGTGGCGGCCCGGCGGATGTGTGCATGCGCCATGTCGGATGCATTGTGCATCCGCCATCGTTGCCGGTCTTCTTCCGGCGGCGGGCGGCGCCGGACACGCACCCCGCACGCGCGCGCGCCACCTATCCGTCCCACATGCCCGGGAATCCTGCCTCAGGCAGGGTCGCCGAGTGTCTCCTCTCCCCTCTCCTCCTCCTCCTCCTCCTCAGCCAGCCCCTTCCTTAGCGCCATTCTAACGACCTCCCTTTCCTCTTCGCGCTCCCACAGGCCATTCAGAAGACCGGCATCAAGCATAACAAGAGCTCTCGCCGCAAGGCCCCCAAGAGCCAGAACGCCTACCTGGCTCTGCTCGTCAAGGTGCGCGCCCGCTTTCGCCTCGCCCCTTTCACCACCGTGTCGTCGTCCCCACCGCGCGCGCACCTCTCGGCCCTTCTTGCGCGCCCTCCTTCCCTTCCTCTCCCTCTCTCGGGGTCGTCTCCCCGAGGCGCGCCGGGAGCAGGGGGGGGCCTTCTTCGTGCCTGCTTGCTCGCTCCCCTTCGGTCGCCCTGGTGCCCATCTGCTCACTCGCGCTTCCCTCCCCCTCTCCCGCCACCCGGCCCGTAGCTCTACCGTTTCCTTGCTCGCCGCACCGAGTCCAACTTCAACGCTGTTGTCCTGCGCCGCCTGTACGCCAGCCGCGTCAACCGCCCTTCCATGTCCCTCTCCAAGCTCGCCAAGTTCGTCGAGGGTAAGGAGGCCACCGCCGTCCTCGTCGGCACCGTGACCGACGACGTCCGCATGGTCGATGTCCCCAAGGTCACCGTCTGCGCCCTCCACGTCACCAAGACCGCCCGCGCTCGCATCGTCGCCGCCGGTGGTGAGGTCCTCACCTTCGACCAGCTCGCCATCCGTGCCCCCACTGGCAAGAACACCCTCCTGCTCCGTGGTAAGACCAGCACTCGCGAGGCCAACAAGTACTTCAGCCCGGGCGCCGGCAGCCACGCCAAGTACGTTCCCTTCTCTCTCTCTCCCTCTCTCTCTCTCTCTCTTGCCGCCCCGGCCCCCTGTTCCCTCTTGGGCAGCGGCGGCGCGGGGCACCATTGCGCACTGCTGCTCCCGTCTTCCTCCTTCTCTCTCTCCCCCCCCCGAGGCTGACAGACTCCCCTTCCCCTCCTCTCTCTCTCCACCACCACCCCCAGGCCCATCACCCTCTCCAAGGGCCGCAAGTTCGAGAAGGCTCGTGGTCGCCGTCACTCTCGCGGCTTCAAGATCAAGGGTTAAAATCCTTGGCTCTCCTTGCCCTTCCAATATCAGTCCTGCAGTCGCAGACGACGGGTGGCGCCATCATCTCCGCTTGGTGGTTTGGTGGCTCCCTCGGCGTCGGTGTGTCATGCTCAGCTTCCCAGCGGGGTCGTCATCGTCGTCGTCGTCATCCTGTGCGGCGGCGCACGCCCTGCGCCCTCTCTGGGATTCGTGGCCCAACGCGCATCCGTCGAATAGACTCCCCTCTACTGCTCCTGCAACCTCTCTCCCCTTCTCGCGCGCGCTTGTTTGTGCCTCCCCCTCCCCCCCCCCCTCCGTCCATAGCCATATCCCCCCCCCTCCACGTCGCTCACCGCCTCGTGGCGCGTGCCAATTTTGTCTCCCAGTCCGCCAGCTGCGTGTTTTTGTGCCTGCCGAACAGGGAGACGGGCGCGTCTCCCCCCGCGCTCTCCCCCCCAGAGCACGTCTGCCTTTTGCCCCCTTTCGCTCTGTTGTTGTTGCTCTCCCGCGCGCAGACATATGATTGCGCCCCACACCAGGATGGAGGATGAGCGGCGTGCGCGCGGATACATGCGCTCTGCGCGCGTGTGGTAGCTCCGTCTGGCGCTGCCGTGCCTGAGCAATGCGGGGCTGGGCGTGAGGTTCTTCCTGCGCGCGCGCGGGGGGGGGGGGGGGGGAGGACCGGACGCGGCGGCGGACGTGGCGCCGTCAGCCGTGTGCGACAAGCCAAGAGGCCCTTGCCCGCCCGGAAAATGCTCGCGCGCGGCGGCGGTCCCTTGCTTTCGGGTTTGCGTCGGGGGGGAGAGGGCCGCGGCGCTCTCCTGCCATCGAGGAGGCACCGCGCGCCCCCGAGACGCCGGTCTAAGTCGCCGGCCAAAATAAAGCACGCCCTCGGCCGGCCCGGAGGCGGGCCACAATACGGAGCGCGTTCCCAGCTCCCCGGCCCCCAAGAGCTCGCTCGACACCAACCGCGCCCTCTCGGGAGAGCCCCCCAGTGGCATGGGCCAGCGTTGTGGTCCTCTCCAAAATTGGCCACGGCGTTGGCCAAAAGGCAGCCAGGCAATAGCTCGGCTCGCCGGTGCCAGTTAAGACACCACAGACGTGCCAATCACACCCCGCGATACGGGGGCCACGTGCCCAAGGACACGGCTGATTTCCCATCAAGGGGACTAACGGCCAGGCGGGGCGGAGGAGAGAGGCGCACGCCGCCGTCCCGTTTCCGGGCCGTCGCGTTTTCCCATCAAGGGCCGTGCGCCTCTCGCGCCGGGCGGGCCTACCCTCCCTCGGTGCATCTGCCTTGTGAGCGGGCGCTTGCCCCCTCCATGTGGAAGGGAGGGGAGGAGACGCCATCTGCGGTGCTTGTGATAATCTATCTATGCCTCTCTTGCTCTCACTGGCTCGCTATTTCCCCTTCCCCCCCCCCCCCCCCCCCCCCCTCATGGGGGCCCTCCCTTGCGGTCTGGATCTTCCCGGGCGGCTCTTTTGCCCATATTGCGGAGTGCATTGTTGTTGTATTTCTGAAGAAGGAGGCCAGCCCCTCCCCAGGGTGGGGGGAACATGCGCGGGGCTCCCTTTGAGCATGGGCGCATACAGGCAGGCGGGGGCCCATGCGACGGCCCGCGGCTCGTGTGTCCTCTCCTTTCGGACTGGAAGTCTTCCCCTTGCCCCGGGGTGCCGATACATGCGACAGAGGCGGGGTAAAAAAAAAGAGGGCCCCATGGCTTAGACCGGGGGGTTACGCAGGATGAGGATGACGCTGTCGCCACGGAGGAACATCTTGGTGATGAAGCGATCGCGGTTGATCGGCTTCGGGGTCTCGCCCTCCTTGACGTTCTTCGGCATCTCGGACCAGATCTCGCGAGCGTTCTCCAGGACCATGTTGCAGTGGCGGTCGAAGGCGCGCACGCGGGCCAGGATCTTGCGGTTATTGCGGCAGGAGATGAAAACCTATCCCAGGAGCCAGGAGAGGGGCGTGTCAGTGGACCGACCATCCTCGGAGCGAGGCACATGTGGGGCAGCTCCTCTTGCCTGCTTTTCGAGCACCCATCCCCGGGGTCTGGGCTTCTGCGCACCTGGGACTGGTTCTTGACGGCCTCCAGGAGGATGGACATCGGGCCAGTGCTGAAGGCCTCCTCCTCAAGACGCCGGAGCTCGATCTCCGACATCTCGTTCTTGGAAATACCGGTGGTCCTGCGGTGTCACAAGGAGCGGGCGTGTCAGGATGGGGTCAGCAGCGGCCGGGGTGATCAGGGGAAATACCCTCGAGAGGGGGGAGAGAGAGGGAGAGAGAGGGAGAGGGGGAGAGAGAGAGAGGGAGAGAGAGAGGAAGAGGGAGAGGAAGAGAGAGGAAGAGGGAGAGGAAGAGAGAGAGGAAGAGAGAGGAAGAGGGAGAGGGAGAGAGAGGGAGAGGGAGAGGGAGAGAGAGACAATGTGCATAGGGCTCAGAGACGTACACCATGATGCACTGTGCTCGGCGGCGGAGGTGTGCAGCATAAGCCAAAGGTCGGGGGCAGCCATTCGAAGAGAGGCACACGAGGGAAAGGTTAGCAGAGCAAATCGGACGGAGCTTGATTGATACCGATAGGGCGGGGGGGGGGAGCATATGCGCAGGTGAGAGAGACGGGCAGCAGGCCCAGGCATCCCCCGCATGTGGAGGCATGCTGGTGACACATGCGGGAGCACCGGCCAGCAGGCAGGCCGCGGCATGCAGCAGACATGACATGCGTACAAGTTACGGGGTGGCGCAGAAGCAGCGAGGACGCGAGGCGGCAGGTGGGGAAATCGAAAAGGGGGAGCAGGGGGAGGGGAAGAGAGCGAGGCGGGGTGGCCGTCCTGGATGGGTGTGGCTCGGGGAGGAGGGCTTTCAGTGGAGAGGGCGGGGGCATCCATCCGGCCGCACAGAGGGGCTCGGCACTCCTCCGCGGCAACCATCATCCTGGAGGGGAGCCCTCCTCTGGACTTGCTGCCATCCGGAGCATGGGCGGCGGGGAAAACCACGAGAGCGCCGGAGCCCGCTGGCCCGGGCGCGGTCGCGCTGGCCGGGGGGGGGGGCGGTTTTCAAGCCAGATCGTGGGCATCTGGGAGGTGTTTCGTTGGGACCTCAGACGCTCGTCAGTTCTGGCGCTTTTCCCCGGCCCAGTCGGGACTGCGCAAGAGCAAGGCACTCCCGCGGCCCCTGTGTGTGTGTGTGGGGGGGGGTGTGTGGGGGGGGGGGGGGGGGGGGGGGGGGGGGGGATAAAGGAGGTATGGAGTTGGTGTGGGCGGCGCCAGTGGTACGGGCACCTTCTTTTCCCCCGAGGAGCACGCCCTGCCCCTCCTCACGGCAGCCTGCGGCGATGGAAACGATCCACGCACACGCTCGAGAGCATGCCCTGGGGGTCCCTCCAGGCGGCTTCGTCTGGCACTGCGAACGGTTGCTTGCGCGAGGCGGGGGGAGGGGGCCGCGGGCCGATCTACGGGACACGCCCTTCCGGCCGTGGGACTTCCGCCCACTGATTCCATCGTGATGGGACTGCCCTCCTCACTTTCCCCCGCCATCTGCCAATATGTCTGCTCGTCGCCTGCATGCGATGGTGCTGATGAGTGGATTACCCATGTCCACGCCCCGCCCCCCCCCCCCCCCCCCCCGCCTCATCCAATGCATACGGCCGCCACACAGGCGAGAAATAAAAATGAAAGAGTTGATTAAAGAGAGGAGCAAGTTCAAGATGGGCGTATACACGTCCGTGCCCCGCCCCCTGTGCTGCCCGGTATGGGCACACGCACATACGGAGGCTGTTTGGCATGGCATACAGGAGAGCAAAGAGGGAGGGGGGAGGTGGTCTGAAGAGGAGGAGGAAAAGGCGAGGAGGAGGGAGGGGGGGGGAGGAGGAGGAGGACCACGGGGTACAGGGGTGCCTGGTATACACGCGTGGAGGAAGGGGCGTCGCTTCCCGCCCTGCAGGAAACGGCATGCACGTGCATGTGCGTGTGTACGCGTGCGCGCGCGCGCGCGGCGTGACAGCTATGGTAGGCCCCTCGCTTCCCTTGTTCCGTCGGGAGGAAAGAGGGGAGAGGAGGCTCCACTCCAGGCCAACTCTCCACGGTGGCGACCGGCCGTGACACGCCCCCCCAGGGGCGGGCGTGCCTGTGGCATGGGCTCTCAAAGGGGAAGAGAGAGAAAGTGAGCGGGAGGCGGCAGAAGAGGCCCTCTAAGTGCCGGACTTAGTTGGGGCCAAGGGGTCTCCCAGCGGGGGCCTGGACCGGGAAGTAGGGCGACGCAGCCGGGCCATTGTGCCCAGCGTAGTGCTGCTGGGGAATGAACGAGGAGCGAACTGTGTCGGCGGAAAGGGGGGGGGGGGGGG